TACCACGTCCGTGACGTCACAGTCTGAGGGATTGTGCGTACTGACGCCACCTGGTGGTCAAACCTTCGTCTGCTGCTGACTTTTCCATCACCAAACTACCTTACATAAAGTACACCAAAAACAAATAATGACGTCACAGCCTGAGGGGGAAAGAGGTCCAATTACTGTTTTTATTATTATTTTATTTTTTTAACATTTGGTAGGGGGTATTATTATGAATCAGTTTTTAGAGATGGGGGTATTATTATGAATCAGTTTTAGAGTGGGGGGTATTATTATGAATCAGTTTTAGAGATGGGGGTATTATTATGAATCAGTTTTAGAGTGGGGGTATTATTATGAATCAGTTTTAGAGTGGGGGGTATTATTATGAATCAGTTTTTAGAGTGGGGGGGTATTATTATGAATCAGTTTTAGAGTGGGGGGTATTATTATGAATCAGTTTTAGAGATGGGGGGGTATTATTATGAATCAGTTTTAGAGATGGGGGGTATTATTATGAATCAGTTTTAGAGTGGGGGGTATTATTATGAATCAGTTTTAGAGATGGGGGGTATTATTATGAATCAGTTTTAGAGTGGGGGGTATTATTATGAATCAGTTTTAGAGATGGGGGGTATTATTATGAATCAGTTTTAGAGTGGGGGGTATTATTATGAATCAGTTTTAGAGATGGGGGGGTATTTTATGAATCGGTTTTAGAGATGGGGGTATTATTATGAATCAGTTTTAGAGTGGGGGTATTATTATGAATCAGTTTTAGAGATGGGGGGTATTATTATGAATCAGTTTTAGAGTGGGGGGTATTATTATGAATCAGTTTTAGAGATGGGGGGTATTATTATGAATCGGTTTTAGAGATGGGGGGTATTATTATGAATCAGTTTTAGAGTGGGGGGTATTATTATGAATCAGTTTTAGAGATGGGGGTATTATTATGAATCAGTTTTAGAGTGGGGGTATTATTATGAATCAGTTTTAGAGTGGGGGGTATTATTATGAATCAGTTTTAGAGATGGGGGGTATTATTATGAATCAGTTTTAAAGTGGGGGTATTATTATGAATCAGTTTTAGAGTGGGGGGTATTATTATGAATCAGTTTTAGAGTGGGGGGTATTATTATGAATCAGTTTTAGAGTGGGGGGTATTATTATGAATCAGTTTTAGAGATGGGGGGTATTATTATGAATCAGTTTTAGAGTGGGGGTATTATTATGAATCAGTTTTAGAGATGGGGGGTATTATTATGAATCAGTTTTAGAGATGGGGGGTATTATTATGAATCAGTTTTAGAGTGGGGGGGTATTATTATGAATCAGTTTTAGAGATGGGGGTATTATTATGAATCAGTTTTAGAGATGGGGGGTATTATTATGAATCAGTTTTAGAGTGGGGGGTATTATTATGAATCAGTTTTAGAGATGGGGGTATTATTATGAATCAGTTTTAGAGTGGGGGGGTATTATTATGAATCAGTTTTAGAGATGGGGGGGTATTATTATGAATCAGTTTTAGAGATGGGGGGTATTATTATGAATCAGTTTTATCAAGGTACACACTCCTAGACTGTGGAGGGCAGCACTAGACTGTGGTGCAGTCTAGAAGTGTACAGTCTATGGTACAGCCTGCCGGAAAGTCATTAGAAGAAGAAGAAGAAGAAGAAGAAGAAGAAGAAGAAGACAATGTGATGTCATCACAGCGCGACATTCAGCTGTTTACGCAGTTGATTGTTTAGTGGGATTTGTCGGAGTTTTGCTCTACAGAGTTTGATTTGAATAAAGTTTTTAGAAACACATGACGACCACCTGGACCCGACAGAGTCCCGGACCAGCAGCGAGCCGTCTGTGAGCCGCATCAGTGTGTCCTTTTGTGGGGCTCTCTCCGTGTATCGGACGGTGTTAGCAGCAGGCTAGCTGTTAGCTTCGTTAGCTCAGAGTTTCTGGGATAATCCGGGGTTTCCGTCATGGAGTATCCCGGAGGAGGGGCGGCGGTGCTCAGCAGCGGGACCGTCCCGGCCTTTCTCACCAAACTGTGGACCCTGGTGGAGGACCCGGACACGGACCCGCTCATCTGCTGGAGCCCGGTAACCCCGTTAGCTTAGTGTAGCTAACAGCTATGTATAATTAGCTTTAACGTGTTTCATGCGTATCTAAAATAAAAGATTCTAAATACAAATCTAATTGTAATTATAGTGGATTTAATCTTCAAACAATCTAAGTCCTATCAGTAAATATGATATATTTATTTATTTCATCACTTAGATCACTTTCCAAAGTCTTTTATTTTGAAAATTCCACAATTTTCAAAATCAAATACATTCAATATTATAAACTAAAAGGTGTCTCTGTGTCTCAGAGTGGGTCCAGTTTCCATGTGTTCGATCAGGGTCGGTTCTCCAAAGAAGTTCTACCAAAGTTCTTCAAACACAACAACATGGCGAGCTTCATCAGACAGCTCAACATGTGTGAGTGTACATCCTGTGACATCATCAGTGCTGACATCATCATCATCAGTGCTGACGTCATCAGTGCTGACATCATCATCATCAGTGCTGACATCATCAGTGCTGACGTCTGTGTGTGTCCCTCTGTGTGTCTCAGACGGGTTCCGTAAGGTGGTTCACATCGAGCAGGGCGGTTTGGTGAAACCTGAGAGAGATGACACCGAGTTCCAACATCCATTCTTCATCAGAGGACAAGAACACCTGCTGGAGAACATTAAACGCAAAGTCACCACCGTACGTCACACCTGTACACCCTAGTATATACCTGCTCTCTCCTGTTTACCTGTTCTCTTCTGTTCTCTCCTGTTAACCTGTTCTCTCCTGTTCTCTCCTTTATACACCTGCTCTCCCCTGTTCTGTCCTGTATACCTGTTCTCTCCTGTTTACATCTACAGCGCCCACGTGTCCCACCTGACAGGCCCTTTAGGGGTTCCTAGTGCCAGTACCTGTTCCTATGCTCTATCCATTTGAATAGAGTAATATACCGTGGTATAATACTGCCCGCCTCCATACACCTGTAGTTCACACCTTTACCTCTTTTTGTCCTCTACAGTAACAGATCTCTGTAGTAGCTTTGGTCTTCATGGTAACATAATCTCTGCTGTGATTGGTCCAGGTGTCGTCAGTGCGTCAGGAGGAGGTGAAGGTGTCATCAAACGAGGTGAACAAGATCCTGACTGACGTGCAGGTGATGAAGGGAAGACAGGAAACCATCGACTCCAGGATCATCGCCATGAGACAGTAAGAGACCGTGAGAACTACACGTGTGTGTGTGTGTTAATAATGATCTGATGTGTGTGTGTTACTGTCTGTCTGTTAATAATGATCTGATGTGTGTGTGTTACTGTCTGTCTGTTAATAATGATCTGATGTGTGTGTGTGTCTGTCTGTCTGTTAATAATGATCTGATGTGTGTGTGTTACTGTCTGTCTGTTAATAATGATCTGATGTGTGTGTGTGTCTGTCTGTCTGTTAATAATGATCTGATGTGTGTGTCTGTCTGTCTGTCTGTTAATAATGATCTGATGTGTGTGTGTGTCAGTGAGAATGAGGCTTTGTGGAGAGAAGTTGCCAGCCTGAGACAGAAACACACTCAGCAACAGAAGGTCGTCAACAAGGTAATAAACCATCACACATGCAACACAGTGATCTATGACATGTACATACATTCTGACTACTCTAGATCTATGACATGTAGATACATTCTGACTGCTCTAGATCTATGACATGTACATACATTCTGACACCTCTAGATCTATGACATGTATATATATTCTGACTGCTCTATATCTATGACCTCTCTCTCTACAGTTGATACAGTTCCTGGTGTCTCTCGTCCAGACTAACAGGATTTTGGGGGTGAAGAGGAAAATGTAAGTAGACACAAACGTCAAAGCTGAGGTCAAACCTCCATCACTGATAGGACTACAGAGGTCTGATAATACAACACCAATAACCACACTGTATTTATTGTGCAGGCCTCTGATGCTGAATGACTCAAGCTCCGCCCACTCCATGCCTAAATACAGTCGGCCATTGTCATTGGAGCACATGCAGGTAAGCTGTCAGTGACTCGCCTGTGTAATGTGGAGTCAATAATTAGAGTGTGTTGCATTAACATTTGTTTTCACACATACGGAAATCTCCTGAAAAACTCTGGACATTAGTCTACCTGGAGGGGCTATATGTGAACACAAACAGCTGAATGTATCTCTCTTCACCCGGAGTTTGTCCTCCAGCCTCTTCGTATTTATTCTGCAGAAAGTCAGAGTGAGCTGAGAACGCAGCAGTATATAATCAGGAGAATTCACCTGGAGCCAATAGGAAGAGAATGAATTTTGTAAACAGTGACTGCATAAAGTGTCTGCACGCCACCTCTACGATCTCCTTGCTCTAATGAACCTGCTGCATTCTGTTTCCTGTTCGTCAGTATGTTGTTCCACGTTGTTTTTTTACGTCACGTCCTACCTCGGGAGACCCCCCCCCCCGACAGGGATAGTCCAGCTATAGATGAAAATATACGCCTCTGTTTGTTTGTTTTTGTTCTCAGGCAGCAGCCAGTTTGTTCTCAGCAACCTCCCCGGTGACTTCCGGACCAGTCATATCCGACATCACAGACTTAGCCACGCCCACTGCACAGGATGTGGTCAGTGATTGGACAGAGGCAGGGTGAGAACCAATGACATTGTATATTTATCAGCAGGGGAACATGAGAGGATGAGTGAACAGAAAAGAAGCATAGGGTTAGTTAACACCTCACAGATCTACCTGAGGACAGGTGATTGACCCGTGTTTCCTGTGAGGACCAAATATGAATGATTATATTAATCATAATAATAATCCAATCAAAACACACCTTTAAACTGAATAAAGAACTCACTTTACTTTGTGAAATCTAGTATTTAAACTTCTTCATGTCATTCAGATTCTTTAAAAAGAACAAACACCGACAGCCGCTGCTTTGTATAGGTGGTACATATCAGGTGACTGCTCTCATAGCCAACAGGAAGTCTGCATTCTTCTCCTCTGATTGGTCAGATTGATCAGCAAGCAGTCAATAACTGCCCATCCTGTTTCCCAAGCAGAGAAAGCCAATCAGGTGTCAAGCAGGAGCCGTCCAGCCCTGATGAGGAGGTGGTTTCTGTGCTTGAAGGTGGAGCTACACAAGCAGACACACCCCTCTCCCCCACCACCTTCATCAACTCCATCCTACTGGAGAGCGAGACACAGCCAACGCCCAGCAGCTCCTCCCCCACAACAGGTAACAGCTCCCCCCACAACAGGTAACAGCTCCTCCCCCACAACAGGTAACAGCTCCTCCCCCACAACAGCTAACAGCTCCTCCCCCACTACAGCTAACAGCTCCTCCCCCACTACAGTTAACAGCTGCTCCCCCACTACAGTTAACAGCTCCTCCCCCACTACAGCTATTAGCTCCTCCCCACAACAGGTAACAGCTCCTCCCCCACAACAGCTAACAGCTCCTCCCCCACCACAGTTAACAGCTGCTCCCCCACTACAGTTAACAGCTCCTCCCCCACTACAGCTATTAGCTCCTCCCCCACAACAGGTAACAGCTCCTCCCCCACTACAGTTAACAGCTGCTCCCCCACTACAGTTAACAGCTCCTCCCCCACTACAGCTATTAGCTCCTCCCCCACTACAGCTAACAGCTCCTCCCCCACAACAGCTAACAGCTCCTCCCCCACTACAGCTATTAGCTCCTCCCCCACTACAGCTATTAGCTCCTCCCCCACTATAGCTAACAGCTCCTCCCCCACTACAGCTATTAGCTCCTCCCCCACTACAGCTAACAGCTCCTCCCCCACTACAGCTATTAGCTCCTCCCCCACTATAGCTAACAGCTCCTCCCCCACTACAGCTATTAGCTCCTCCCCCACTACAGCTAACAGCTCCTCCCCCACTACAGCTATTAGCTCCTCCCCCACTACAGCTAACAGCTCCTCCCCCACTACAGTTAACAGCTGCTCCCCCACAACAGCTAACAGCTCCTCCCCACCAAACAGCTAACAGCTCCTCCCCCACTACAGCTAACAGCTCCTCCCCCACTACAGCTAACAGCTCCCCCCCCACTACAGGTAACAGCTCCTCCCCCACTACAGGTAACAGCTCCTCCCCCACTACAGCTAACAGCTCCTCCCCCACTACAGTTAACAGCTGCTCCCCCACAACAGCTAACAGCTGCTCCCCCACAACAGCTAACAGCTCCTCCCCCACTACAGCTAACAGCTCCTCCCCCACTACAGCTAACAGCTCCTCCCCCACAACAGCTAACAGCTCCTCCCCCACTACAGCTAACAGCTCCTCCCCCACTACAGGTAACAGCTCCTCCCCCACTACAGCTAACAGCTCCTCCCCCACAACAGCTAACAGCTCCTCCCCCACTACAGTTAACAGCTCCTCCCCCACTACAGCTAACTAGCTCCTCCCCCACTACAGCTAACAGCTCCTCCCCCACAACAGCTAACAGCTCCTCCCCCACTACAGCTAACAGCTCCTCCCCCACAACAGCTAACAGCTCCTTCCACTGGTTTTAGCAGGAAGAAGGCGTAAGCCCTAGTGGTACAATGGTCATAACAGTCGGCTTGTACACCCAGAAAAGACTGTCTTAGCTTAACAGGCGTTGACCTGCTGGTGACCCCTGGTTGGTAAAGTTGTGAGCAGTGATTGGTTCATTGGTTCTGCTTGATCCAGTTTTTGTCTGACTCTCTTAATTCTCTTCTCTCTGCGCTTTTAGTCAGCCCCGTTATTCTGCTGAGCCCTGTCTCCACTGGGCCAGTCCCACCAACATCAGGCAGCCAATCACCTTCTTCCACCCGAAGCTCAGACTCCACACCTCGCAACACTAAAGCTCAACAAGAATGTCAGACCATCGCCTGTATCGACAGGTAAGTCTTCTATACATCTGTTGAAATGCTGGTGCATTTACCACCGTTAACTTCCCACTACAGTTATATCTGCCCCGTACAGCTATAAGCTGCATGGTGCTGCCCCTACCCGGCCCTACAGCTGATATTACTACCCCTTACTGTCATAGATGCCCCTACCCGGCCCTACCTGCTGATATAACTACCCCTTAATGCCCTAACTGCCCCTACCTCGGCCCTACAGCTGATATAACTACCCCTTACTGTCATAACTGCCCCTACCTCGGCCCTACAGCTGATATTACTACCCCTTACTGTCATAACTGCCCCTACCTCGGCCCTACAGCTGATATTACTACCCCTTACGGCCCCTACCTGGGCCCTACAGCTGATATAACTACCCCTTACTGTCATAGATGCCCCTACCCGGCCCTACCTGCTGATTTAACTACCCCTTAATGCCCTAACTGCCCCTACCTGGCCCTACAGCTGATATAACTAGCCCTTACTACCATAGTTGCTCCTACCTCGGCCCTACAGCTGATATAACTACCCCTTACTGTCATAACTGCCCCTACCTCGGCCCTACAGCTGATATTACTACCCCTTACGGCCCCTACCTGGGCCCTACAGCTGATATAACTACCCCTTACTGTCATAACTGCCCCTACCTCGGCCCTACAGCTGATATTACCACCCCTTACTGTCATAGATGCCCCTACCCGGCCCTACCTGCTGATTTAACTACCCCTTAATGCCCTAACTGCCCCTACCCGGCCCTACAGCTGATATAACTAGCCCTTACTACCATAGTTGCTCCTACCTGGGCCCTACAGCTGATATTACTACCCCTTACTGTCATAGCTGCCCCTACCTCAGCCCTACAGCTGATATAACTACCCCTTACTGTCATAGCTGCCCCTACCTCAGCCCTACAGCTGATATAACTACCCCTTACTGTCATAACTGCCCCTACCCTGGCCCTACAGCTGATATAACTACCCCTTACTGCATAGCTGCTGCCCTTCCTGACCAAGCAGGAGAACATTTACCCATAATGCATTGTGTAATTTAAGGCGTTTCTGAAGTGGGTGTTGATGTGTTCAGGTCTCTCAGCTGTCCTGTTGAATGTCTTCCTGTCAGGTGTGAATCTTTTGAACGACAGGTGTGTTATTAACACCCCTGTGCTTCCCCCAGGCCCTGCCCCCCTCCTTCTGCAGGTGGACATTCACCTGATGTTTGGCACTTCCTATCAACAGGGTGTGAATCAGTAACTCTATAGATCATTTCAAGAATCTGTCAATTTGACTTCATAACTTAACCTGTACACACACACACACACACATAGACACACTCACAGACAGACGGACGGACGGACGGACGGACACACACACACACACACACACACAGACAGACACACACACACACACACACACACACACACACACACACACACACACACACACACACACACACACACACACACACACACACACACACACACACACACACACACACACACACACACACAGACACACACACACACACACACACACACACACAGACAGACACACACAGACACACACACACACACACACACACAGACTGCTGCTCAGCCTGCAGCAGAGACAGAGAGAGATACACTAACACATGGTGTTTCATTGTGAGATCATGAGATTCAAAAAGAAATGAACATTAGACTGATGTCTGTCTGTCTGTCTGTCTGTCTGTCTGTCTGTCTGTCTCAGGTCGGAGCTGTCAGAACATGTGGACAGTATTGACAACAGTCTGGAGAACCTGCAGAGCATCCTGAACACTCAAAGCTTCAGCTTCGACACGTCTCCACTCATGGAGGTCAGTCTGTTTATAAATGTTTTAATAGAAACACTATATAGATGCTTTAGTTCATGATAGAGTTAGTATATATATAACATGATGATGAAGTCATTCGTGGTTGTTGAGATCACCTGTGTGTGTTTAGTTCTTCAGTTCTACCTGTCCGTCTGGAGACTTCGACCTGGACTGTTTGGACACTGTGAGTTCAACATCTACACTTTTATTTTTTATTCTGTTTTCAAACTTCTTTCAGATATTCACGGCCCAAACATTTGTTCTGTTAACTATTTTATGGGTTAGGTATACTCAGGTGTGTGCAGGTATTGTCAGGTCTGTAAAGGTTAATTCAGGTGTAATTAAATGTGTGTAATTACAGATGGTACAGGTCTTGAGGACATTTGTTTTGTTTCTACCTGTTAGTTTCTTTATGATGTCATAACCTTCTGTGATGTCACTGCTTCCTGTCAGCTGCTGTCCGAGGACGCCCCTAAAGGAAGTGATGCAGGCCACACCAACCACACAGGTAACACCCTCATTTATACCTGTGAGGACCCTCCCTGAGGTGATGCAGGACCTACATAATACTGTTGATATAAATTTAGATACCTATGCTTCTCTCTGATTGGTCCAGGGAAGCAGCTGGTGCAGTACACGTCCCCACCTGTCCTGATGACTGAGCCAATCAGCTTGGGGGAGGGAGGGCCGATCTGCCCTCCTTGCTGGAGCTGGAGACGGAGCCTTATTTAAGCTCTGACCCGCCAACTGATGACCCAACGTTTGACCTTCTTAGCCACGCCCACATTGACTCTGACCTCTGACATCGCCAAAAGTGGGAGGGACATGGCTTGGGATTTATCAGTTACAATAGCAACAGGACAGCAGCAGCAATAGATTAAGATAAAGGGGATTGATTAGGTGTCAATCAAACAATCAATCAAAAGTTAGGTGATATTATGCAGAAGTTATTGATCCCTTCTCTTCTACTCTTTTATTCTAGTCTTTGTTTCTTCTACTCTTTTATTTTAGCTCATATTTCTTTTTCTGCTTTCCTGTTTGTGTTTTCGAAGATCTGGGGTCACATCTGTAACAAACAGCAGTGAGGTCATTGTGGAAGATGTCATTGGATCATGTGACACAGCTGTTCTGTGTTCTGCATGCTGATTGGTTGTCTTTGTTTTGAAGTGTTAAATGTATCTAAAGAAAAAACTATTTTTTGAAAAGTTTATTATGAATGAGTGACCCCTTTTACCATGGAGACGATCAATAATAAACAGTTTGTTTATCAGTTTTTTTCATGAAAATGCTAATACACACAGACACAGGCAAACACAGAGTGGAGTTATTGATGGACCCTCAGCGCAGTGTCACCTTTAAATAAATATTGAGGCTTCAATATGAGGCTTTCAGTTCTTTACCTTTGTACATAATCATGTTTACATTCTATCTCTGCTAACATAATTAGCAGCTGTGATAAGAGAAACTGGTGTTTTTTATAAAGTGATTCAGTGGTAAGTTTGTTCAGCTGTTAAATCTGAATGAATATTAAATATATGCTTTAAATCTCAGACAATCTTCGTTCCAACCCTCACCTGTGGTCATGAGCTTTGGGTAGTGACCGAAAGAATAAGATCTCGGACACAAGCGGCTGAAATGAGTTTTATCTGGAGGGTGTCTGGACTTAACGTTAGAGAAAGGGCGGAGGAGTTTAGACATTCAGGGGGAGCTCGGAGTAGAGCCTCGGGATCCCTCAGGAGGAGCTGGAAAGGTTTCTGAGGAGACGGACATCTGTGTTGACTTACTTTGCCAGCTGCCACCACGACCCAACATTGAATAACAGGAAGAAAATGAACAGAAGGAATAAACCAAATGTATTTTTCAAGGAGTCAAGGAAAACTGACATAACTTTAAAATCTTTTGTCATTATTAAATAATTGTATAATTTAATATCCAGAAAGAGTTGCACATCATTATTTGTTATTTAAAACTGATCAGATCAAACAAAAGACAAATTCTCAGTTTGATGTTCAAAATAAAAACATTTTAATGTAGAAGTTAAAACTCTCATTTTACAATCCTGACAGAGAAGATGATGTCACATCCTGTATGATGTCATAAAGTCAAAACAGAATTACTTAAAGTTAAAACAAAATCTCAGCAATTCTACAAAAACAAAAAATAAACAAAACTCTTAAATACATAAAAACAACATCAGGGGGTGGGGCCTAGAACTAGTGGGAGGAGTCTGACTTCCCGGGCCATACTGATTGGTTGGTACACTGGAATCGGTATCGCAGGAAACGAACTCTTGGCTTGATATGGAAGTCAGCAGGTATCCTCCAGTTCCACATTTTCTGCACCTGAAACGAGTACAAAAGATAAACATTGATTTCACATTCTTGTATCTTTGGAACAAAAACGTAGTCTTTAAAACAAAGAACGTCAGTAATAACATTTAAGAACATGATAAAGAACGTCACTAATCACATCAAAGAACGTCACTAATAACATCTTAGAACGTCACTAATAACATCAAGATCGTCACTAATAACATCAAAGAACGCCACCAATAACATCAAAGAATGTCACTAATAACACCAAAAACGCCACTAATAACATCAAAATAACGTCACTTATAACATCAAAGAACGTCACTAATAACATCAAAGAACATCACTAATAACATCTTAGAACGTCACTAATAACATCAAAGAACATCACTAATAACATCTTAGAACGTCACTAATAACATCAAAGAACATCACTAATAACATCAAAGAACATCACTAATAACATCAAAGAACACCACCAATAACATCAAAGAATGTCACTAATAACACCAAAAACGCCACTAATAACATCAAATAACGTCACTTATAACATCAAAGAACATCACTAATAACATCAAAGAATGTCACTAATAACATCAAAGAACGTCACTAATCACATCAAAGAACGTCACTAATAACATCTTAGAACGTCACTAATAACATCAAGATCGTCACTAATAACATCAAAGAACGCCACCAATAACATCAAAGAATGTCACTAATAACACCAAAAACGCCACTAATAACATCAAATAACGTCACTTATAACATCAAAGAACGTCACTAATAACATCAAAGAACATCACTAATAACATCTTAGAACGTCACTAATAACATCAAAGAACATCACTAATAACATCTTAGAACGTCACTAATAACATCAAAGAACATCACTAATAACATCAAAGAACATCACTAATAACATCAAAGAACACCACCAATAACATCAAAGAATGTCACTAATAACACCAAAAACGCCACTAATAACATCAAATAACGTCACTTATAACATCAAAGAACATCACTAATAACATCAAAGAATGTCACTAATAACATCAAAGAACATCACTAATAACATCAAAGAATGTCACTGATAACATCTTAGAACGCCACTAATAACATCAAAGAACATCACTAATAACATCTTAGAATGTCACTAATAACATCAAGATTGTCACTAATAACATCAGAGAACGTCACTAATAACATCAAAGAACGTCACTAATAACATCTTAGAATGTCACTAATAACATCAAAGAACGTCACTAATAACATCTTAGAACGCCACTAATAACATCTTAGAATGTCACTAATAACATCTTAGAACATCACTAATAACATCAAAAACGCCACTAATAACATCAAATAACGTCACTTATAACATCAAAGAACGTCACTAATAACATCAAAGAATGTCACTAATAACATCAAAGAACATCACTAATAACATCAAAGAATGTCACTGATAACATCTTAGAACGCCACTAATAACATCAAAGAACATCACTAATAACATCAAAGAACATCACTAATAACATCAAAGAATGTCACTGATAACATCTTAGAACGCCACTAATAACATCAAAGAACATCACTAATAACATCTTAGAATGTCACTAATAACATCAAGATTGTCACTAATAACATCAAAGAACGTCACTAATAACATCTTAGAATGTCACTAATAACATCAAAGAACGTCACTAATAACATCTTAGAATGCCACTAATAACATCAAAGAATGTCACTAATAACATCTTAGAACACCACTAATAACATCAAAGAACGTCACTTATAACATCAAAGAATGTCACTAATAACACCAAAAACGCCACTAATAACATCAAAGAACATCACTAATAACATCAAAGAATGTCACTGATAACATCTTAGAACGCCACTAATAACATCAAAGAACATCACTAATAACATCTTAGAATGTCACTAATAACATCAAGATTGTCACTAATAACATCAAAGAACGTCACTAATAACATCAAAGAATGTCACTAATAACATCTTAGAATGTCACTAATAACATCAAAGAACGTCACTAATAACATCTTAGAACGCCACTAATAACATCAAAGAATGTCACTAATAACATCAAAGAACGTCACTAATAACATCTTAGAACGCCACTAATAACATCAAAGAATGTCACTAATAACATCTTAGAACATCACTAATAACATCTTAGAATGTCACTAATAACATCAAGATTGTCACTAATAACATCAAAGAACGTCACTAATAACATCAAAGAACGTCACTAATAACATCTTAGAATGTCACTAATAACATCAAAGAACGTCACTAATAACATCTTAGAACGCCACTAATAACATCAAAGAATGTCACTAATAACATCTTAGAACACCACTAATAACATCAAAGAACGTCACTTATAACATCAAAGAATGTCACTAATAACACCAAAAACGCCACTAATAACATCAAATAACGTCACTTATAACATCAAAGAACATCACTAATAACATCAAAGAATGTCACTAATAACATCAAAGAACATCACTAATAACATCAAAGAATGTCACTGATAACATCTTAGAACGCCACTAATAACATCAAAGAACATCACTAATAACATCTTAGAATGTCACTAATAACATCAAGATTGTCACTAATAACATCAAAGAACGTCACTAATAACATCAAAGAACGTCACTAATAACATCAAAGAACGTCACTAATAACATCTTAGAACGCCACTAATAACATCAAAGAATGTCACTAATAACATCTTAGAACATCACTAATAACATCAAAAACGCCACTAATAACATCAAATAACGTCACTAATAACATCAAAGAATGTCACTAATAACATCAAAGAACATCACTAATAACATCAAAGAATGTCACTGATAACATCTTAGAACGCCACTAATAACATCAAAGAACATCACTAATAAAATCTTAGAATGTCACTAATAACATCAAGAGTCACTAATAACATCAAAGAACGTCACTAATAACATCAAAGAACGTCACTAATAACATCAAAGAATGTCACTAATAACATCTTAGAACATCACTAATAACATCAAGAACGTCACTTAATAACATCAAAGAATGTCACTAATAACATCAAAGAACGTCACTTATAACATCAAAGAATGTCACTAATAACATCAAAGAACGTCACTAATAACATCAGAATGTCACTAATAACATCAAGATTGTCACTAATAACATCTTAGAACGTCACTAATAACATCAAAGAATGTCACTAATAACATCAAAGAACGTCACTAATAACATCAAAGAACGTCACTAATAACATCAAAGAACGTCACTAATAACATCTTAGAACGTCACTAATAACATCAAAGAATGTCACTAATAACATCTTAGAAGTCACTAATAACATCAAAGAATGTCACTAATAACATCAATAACGTCACTAATAACATCAAAGAACGTCACTAATAACATCTTAGAATGTCACTAATAACATCAAAGAACGTCACTAATAACATCTTAGAACGTCCACTATAACATCAAAGAATGTCACTAATAACATCTTAGAACATCACTAATAACATCAAAAAACGCACTAATAACATCAAATAACGTCACTAATAACATCAAAGAACATCACTAATAACATCAAAGAATGTCACTGATAACATCTTAGAACGCCACTAATAACATCAAAGAACATCACTAATAACATCTTAGAATGTCACTAATAACATCAAGATTGTCACTAATAACATCAAAGAACGTCACTAATAACATCAAAGAACGTCACTAATAACATCTTAGAATGTCACTAATAACATCAAAGAACGTCACTAATAACATCTTAGAACGCCACTAATAACATCAAAGAATGTCACTAATAACATCTTAGAACACCACTAATAACATCAAAGAACGTCACTTATAACATCAAAGAATGTAACTAATAACATCTTAGAACATCACTAAT